GAGAGAGAGAGAGAGAGCTTAAAATACAACGGAGGTTGTGGCTGCGTCAAATTACGAATCGATGACAATCGCACAAGGCTTGGACTTGGCAGCCGCAAGCTAAAACCAGGCAAAATGCTACGCATGTCGCACGCCACTACACCAACCCGTTCGAAAACGCAAGAGTAAAATACAAATCTACAGTATTGTCTAACCGACTCTAACGCATTCCAGACCGTGAGGGTGACAGTCTTAATTTCGAAATGAAAAAAGTAAAAAAGAAACCGCAAATAAAACCAACACATTCGGAACAAAAGACCCCAACAACCCCGTAGCATCCACCCCCCTCCTCTCCCATACTATCCCAAGGGCGGGCGCCGGGCAGGACGACATCGGTGGCAAGGAGGAGGCTGGTGCCAGGACGACCGACGACAGGGGATCTAAGTGGATAGAAGACGATGCGGAATCACGGATCGGCGAATGCCAGACAACAAGCTCCACGGGCGACGACGTTCAGTGCAGGAACTCACGTCTCTACCTCGCCCGTATAGCCTTCTCTATCTCCAAAAGTGCATGGCAGATCAACTTGCTTACATCGTCCGACGCTTCGTAGTGCGTTCTTTGGACCTCAACCTCCGCTTCCATGGCTTCACACTGTCGAACTTGAATGGAGCACTGCCTCTTGCTAGCGCTCTCCATAGTTTTCGCAATGAGCGTCCCGTGCTTCTCCATGCACTCCGTGAGAGCTTCGAAAGTCTGTTGCCTCACGTTCTTCCGCTTGCCGAAAGCCCCACAGGTACCCGTCGTTGGTGACAAACCTTTCGTCGAGCTGTAATCTTCCTCGTTACCGTCACCAACAGCCTCCCCATCGCCGACAGACTCAGGCCCGCCTGAACCCCCGGACGGCAGCTGCACAGTGCACACCACCCGAACGGCCTGTGTCGACGACATTCTTTGGGTTTATGGTGTGACCCTTCGCGGTCGACCCCTTGATCTCCTCATACACGGCCCGATCCATGGTGAAATTGAAGCCATGCACTGACGTCTCCTTCACCATTAATAGGAAGATGTCCTGTTTCCCAGACTCCCCCCATAATAGGTGCACCTTCTTGAACTGCCGCATCAAGTTGTCCCATTTCTTCCCGCACGTGTCCGCTGTCCTTTCAACGCCCACTTTCTTCAACCTCTCTTCAACATCCACCCACTTCCATTCCCTCGGCTTCATGCGAGCGCACGCGTGCCCCATCCCCTGCAAATGCGCTTCCTGGTCCCGCTTCGCCCTGATGAGGGCCACCATCTGGTTGACTGACCAGAAGTTCCGCCCGTCCTTGGCCTCCACGTCGTCTTCCCCCTCGCTCCTCGCAGGCTGCGCTCGTTTTCCCTAACGCGAAGACGATGCTGGAGCCTTGCTGTTCCTGCCCCTCCCACCCATGGATTTCTTCCGCATCACCCAAACACCGCAGTCTCGTCGTCCTGCCGTTCCTTGTCCTTCGCGGTGTCCTTGTAATCGTCGGCGTCCAGCACCGCTGGCTCCTTCTCCGTGTTCACCTCCCGCACGCGCGGTCGCTGCACCCCGCGCGTTATCGACTCCTCGCATTCTCAACGGACCTGCTGTCGATGTTCCGCCCACACCTGTCTCCCATCCCGCTCACGACCACCGGACGCGAAATCTTCGTCCGCCGGCCCACAGACAGGCGTGTGGCTCCCCTTGCTGCCACCTCCCGACAATAGCGATGGAGGCTGCATCCACTTTGGTCGACTGCCAGCGGCATGTGCTGCTGACGATGACATCGATTGCACTTTCGGACGCTCCCTTGTCTTTTCTTACGCCACCCACTCCCCGGAGGGAGCCTTTGCAGATCGGCCCACTAGCGTCTCTTGCCCTGCGTCGTCGTCAGGGTGTGGGTTAACGAGGACAATGCGTGTGGCGGCCGATGAGCTCCCGCTGCACAGGCGGAATGAAAGATTGATGTCGTTTACAATATCGCTTTCACGTACGCCGTCTTCTAGGAGTTCGGTGAAGGACTGGTGAGACGTCGTCTCACGATTCCCATATAACTGGCTCCCCGCCCACTCCTGGGTGGAGCCACTTCCTAGCGCCACGGCACGTGACCGTGCTTCCTCCGCCTCCTCATCGTCCGTGCCAGGCAAAGTTGTCCGCGCGGTGGCAGGTGCGCATATGCAAACGGGTCGTACGACCTTGCAGTGCATGTCGGGACGCTGCGCGGCCCGTTGCTTGTGCATCGTTCCACTGGAGTCTTGTTCTTCGCCTGCCGCCCTTCCAAGATGACGCCCTTCGTCGATGAACGCATCTTGCGCGTGCGTCTAGGCAGCGTACCGAGGATGCACACGTGGAACACGACGACAAGGAGAAGTGTGACCAACACCAGGAACAACAGTGGTAGTCTTCGGAAGACGTCGGCCATGAACGACACGCGGTGAAGGGCGGTAACTGCACAACGCCGGTACAACTCCAGCAAACGGCGACGACACGACGACAAGAAATGGTGACGAGAACGGGGCAGGAAACGACAGACTGTACAATCCGACGAGCGTCGTCATCATGGCTTGCGTCATGTAGCTCAAAATAGGCGGGCTCAAATATTCGAATTTCCCATCCGTTGCCCCGATTTTCGTTTGGCGGCACGCGCTGCGAGGGGGAACGGTTGTGGACGACTTGCGTGGGAGTCGGCAGGCCACCAACGGTCGCCGTTGGGGTACGGTTCCTGGAAGCCGAACGTTGAAGACCGACGATGTCCGCGCGCCGCCCGGCAGGACCTCCAATGGACCAGCCGACGAAAATTTCCTTCCGACGACGGGTGCCCTCGCCGCTCTGATTATGGCGGATTGTTCACCTCCGAGGGACCTCGGGAGGTACCTTGGGGGAGGCCGTAAAATGGCTGTAGCCCGAGGATGGCCCGAGGATTCCCCGAGGAAATGTTTTCACTTTTTTTTTCGTTTTTTCCCCCGAGGATAGGTGGAACGAAGATTTCCTCGGGGATTTTACAGGGCCGAGGAGTGTCTAACCACCACCTATGTATTTTCATTACCTATTTATTCAATTTTATTGCCATTGCAAGGAAGATGAGTAATAGCGAACTCCAGCAATCAAACAGCATCACGAGATAGGGGCTCGTTCGACACTCTTTGGGGCGTCCTCGGAGCCCGAGGAAATTTTCCTTTTAGTCAAAAGGAAATTTGGGCCCTTTGTTCCACCTGTCCTCGGGGACGTCGCCCGAGGACGTTTCCTTGGAGCAATGTTAGAAAAGAAAAAAGGAAAAAAAAAAACAAACAAATGTGCCTAAGGCCTTCAGCCAATAAGGTGCCGCCACGATCCAGATTCTCGGTTGTAACGTCTCTCTACGCGTGTGCCCACTCCTCTCCGTGAAACGCGGATTCCTTTTGCCCAAGGGACCTCGTGAGGTCCCTTGGGCAAAAGGGAGAAATGGCTGGGGAATCCTCGGAGCCCGAGGAATTTCCTTCGGAGTGTTTTCACTTTTTTTTTTCCGACTGCAACCCCGAGGATAAGTGGAACGATTCCGAACGAACAATTCCTCGGGGACTTTAGGCGCCCGAGGAGTGTCGAACGAGCCTCATACACCAAATAAGAACACACCAAGAGTTCATAATTGACAATGCTGAAGTAGTCCCATCATCATCAACGAAGAACCAGAGTTGATATCCTATTGGCGCTCGGCGCCCAGACTACAGGTGGCAGATCCTATCTAGCCTATACTACGAAGCCGAAAGATGACATCAACAACATTCCCGAAGTACGAGCATATGGCGACCAATGTCGCACGCTTCAGCACCAGGTATGTCTTGCGCTACACTCACAACCTCGTTCCCTAACTCACAGATGCCACTAGCACCCAAGGACCACCCTGCGCTTCACCCAGCATACAGCATAGCAGCTCGGCTATGGCTGCGTGCTCCTTCCCTGCTCGCCCGTGAGAGCGTAGGCGCCAGCCAGCAAATAGCACAGCAGCAGCGCTTGCGCAGCATGCAGCCAGCACCCGAATGCGGAATGAGGAGTCAGGCCCTTCCCTATATCGAAGTGGCCTGTCTGCGTCCAGTCCAGGAAGCTTCCAGTAGGCCCCGGTAGCCTGAGGCCCAGTCACGAGGATAGCAGGCCTTGGGCCTGAAGTGGTTGCATGTGCCCAACTGCTTTCGGCCTGTGTTTGGCACTGTACCCGTATCCAGCCCAGGGCCTGCTTCACGTACATTCACACAGGCGTCCCAGGCCCTGGGTTCACTCAACCAACTGGCGCTGCGCAACTGCCTGAATTTCCTTGAGTTGCGTGGTGGCCAGAAAAGGGCCCTGAGGGCCTCGTCGAGTCTGCCTTCACTTAGGGCGGCCGACGGGCTGCAAAATGGGGGCCTTATGGGGCTCTTAGAGGCAGTGGCCTCGCACCATTATCCATTTACTATTATTATTATTATTATCAATTATTAATTTAGTACCAAGTATTAGATCCTTAGTGGAGGCTTCATGATGTTCATTGTTCACATTCTTCAAGAGAAAGGGGAGTTGTCTCTGCGCAGAGTCTTTTCTTACCCTCACAAACTCACCTGCTGCACTGTAGCTGCAGAGCTCAAGGCTTGCTGGCGTTGTCGGCGTTGCCACTGCTTGAGCAACAACAAGAAGACGAA